ATGTTTATTGCTGCATTATTCACAATAGCAAAGAGATGGAAGTAACTCAGTGCCCACCAGCAAATGAATGGATAAAAAAACTATGGTATATTTACATAAAGAAAAACTACATAGCATTGAAAAACAATGAATTTGTAAAACATTATACAACATGGGGGAACCTGGAAGACATTATGCTGAGTGAAATATCTCAGTCACAAAAGGACAAATACTTCATGACACTATTGTTATAAAACAGGACAGACATGCAAGATGATGAGGGAATGGGGAGACAGTGGGTAGGTAATAAACATTGCATTAGAACAGATGAAAGAAAGAGCTGTTTAAAAGGAATATATCACAATCTGGAACAAGAGGTACATTGCAGAGTGGGCTGTGGGAGGGGAAAGAGGGGTCAAAGAAAACACATAACAACAAATAAGAAAACAATAACTATTTTTAAAAAATCCTAGGGAGCAAAGAATTGTCATTATAAAACAGAAATTAATAGACATGTATGCCTTGACTCAGATAGCAAACGTACAGAAAGTGAATGCTCCAAGGTGGGTAATTTTAATATTCAGCCCTCAGGCCTGGTTTTAATTGTTTTTGGTCAAACATTCTTCTAAGGGGTATAGCACTGGTCTGTCCATTTGCTGTACAGAGGTATCTCATGGTTGCTGTGATGCTAAACACTGTGACACTGATGTGTCAAATGTGACAATGGTTACCCATGGTGGACAGTGTTTGGTGGAGCTCCCCAATTAAAATAAGCTTGAAAGCAGGAGTGGCATCCACTTCTGAAATAGCTTGCTTCTGGTAATCCTATGAACTTGGAGAAACGAAGAAAGTTATGCAAGTGCTTAGGTCTTTCTTTCATAGAGTCGCTATGAGTCCTCTACGACTTGATGGTACTTAACAACACAAAAATTTCATTTTCATGAAAATCTCTTTTTAATGTGATCTAGATTTTATAATACTTGTTGGATATATTAGGGAGCTCTGGTGGCCTCGTGGTAAGGAGCTATGCTGCAATCCCAAAGGCAAGGAGTTCAAATCCACCTATTGTTCCATGGGAGAAAGATGGGCAGTCTCCTCCCATGCAATTAATCTCTTCTGAAAACCCACTGGAGGGTGAGCTATGGGTCAGTTTCAACTCAATAGTACACTACCACCACTACAACAACATTGGATATATTGGATTTTTTACAACGTTTTCTTCAGCTTCAATTTTAGCTTGGGGTAATAGATGGTCTGTCCTACAGTCAGCAATCATCTAAAGTACACATTTGAGGCACTGATCACCAATGATCAAAGACCACACCTGGTGTGGTATTACATCAAGGATATCATCCACAAAGAGAGCAAAAGGTCATTATAAAGTTAGAGGAGAAAAAAAATAAAAAAACAAAAACAAATTGAAAGTCAGATGAAAACTACAGAAATTGCATTAGAACATCAAGAAGCCAAAAGAAAAAGAAGAGATGCCAAAGTAAAAGAATTGAGTAGATGATTACAAAAGACATCGCAAGAAGATAAAGAAAAGTATTATAACAAAATGTGCAAAGACCTGGAGTGAGAGAATAAAAGGGAAGAAACCCCTAAGCATTTCACAAGCTGAAATAAAGGGGGGGTGGTGTGAAAAAAGCTTTGAATTGCAATATTGAACGATGCTATGAGCAAAATGAAAATGGAAGGAATACAGAGTTATTGTACCAAAAACAATTGGTTGACACTGAAAAATTTCAGGCAGTGTCATATAAAAGGGAGCTAATGGTAATAAAGGGAGGAGTTTAAGCTTGGTTGAGGGTATTGGCAAAAATAAGGGCCTAGACATTGATGGAATACCAAATGACATGTTTAAAATAGACTATTCAACCCTGCGCATACATGCCCACCAGTTTAAGTTTATGCTAGAAAGTTTGGAGAACAGCTGCCTAGCTAACTGACTGGAAGAGATCCATTATTTGTTCCTATTCTCTAGAAATGTTATCCAAAAGAATGTGGACATTACCAAGCTACATTATTAATATCAAATATAAGCAAAATAGTAGGGAGCACAGTGGTCTAGTGGTAATAAGCTGTACTAAAATCCCCAAGAAATTAAATTTAAATTCACTAGCTACTCTGCAGAAGAAAAATGTGCATTCTCCTCCTGTGCAATTAAACTGCCTCTCAAAAACCCATTGGAAGGTCAGTTATTGGTTGGCGCTGACTCAATGGTACACAACAATAACAACAAGAAAAATACTGCTGAAGACCATCCAAAAATGGCTAGAAAAGTTCGTAGAGAACTACCCAAAGTTCAAGTGTAGTTTAGAAGTTCTAGTGTGAGACCAGGGATATTACTACTGATGCCAGAAGAATCCTAGCTGAAAGCAGAGAATACCAGAAGAAAGTCTACTTGTGTTTTATTGTCTGTGCAAAGGGATTAGACTATATGGATCATAACAAACTGGGGCTAACATTGAGAAGAATAGGGATCTCAGAATACTTAACTGTGCTCATACAGAATCTATACTTAAACAAAGAACCTATGCACAAATGGAACAAAAGAATATGGCATGGTTTAAAATCAGGAATGGTGTCTGTCAGTGCAGTATCCTTTCTCAATATCTATTCAATCTATATTTGGAAAAAATAATTTATTAAGCTTGACTTTACAAAGAGGAATGTGGTATCAAGACCAGAGGAAAACTCACCAACAACCTGAATTATGCAGATGATACAACCTTGACTGCTGCAGGTGAAGAGTTAAAACAGTTACTGCGGAAGACCAAAGACTAAAGCCTTCAAAATGGATTGTATCTCAACATCAAGAAGCCAATGATTCTCACCACTGGCCCAAAAAGAAACATCATGATAGATGGAGAATGGATTGCTCTGATGATTTAATCTTGCTTGGATCAATAAGTAATACCCTTGGTACAAGTAGTTAGTAGATTTAAAAAAAAAAAAAAGAAAACATCAAACTGTGCTGGGAAGGTATGCTATCATGGACTTCTCCAAAATATTGAAGAGCAGTGATGTTTAAGACTAACGTGCACCTGAATCAGGCCAAAGTCTTTTAAATCATTTGCTATGCAGCTGAAAGCCGGACAATAAGTAAGAAAGACAAAAGAAAAATTGAAGCCTTTGAACTGTGGTGCTGGAAAAGAATACTGAATCTCTTATGGACTGACAGAAGAATGAATAGATGTCATGGAAAAGTGCAGCCAGAGTGCTCCTAGGAGGCAAAGATGGTGAAGCTTTATCTCTCATACTCTGGGGTGTATCTTGCTCTTAGCTGAATTATAACCTATGTTGTTGTGTTGTTACGTGTAATTGAGGAGAGTACAACTCATAGCAACCCTATGAACAACAGCTACGAACCTTGTGCTTTTCTGTGCCATCCTCACACTGTCTGACACATGATCCCATTGCAGTAGCCACTGTGTCTATCTATATGGTTGGGGGTCCTCCACTCTTTTATCAATCCTCCACCTTTCCAAGTATGATGTCCCTTTCCAAGGAATAGCCTCTCCTAAAAACACCCAAAGAATGGTGGACAAAGCATTATTCTCTCCACCTCTAAGGAAAATTCTGGCTGCACTTTCTCTAAGATGTACTGGTTTATTCTTTTGGCAGTCCATGGGATAATCAGTACTCTTCTCCAGCACCACAACTCAAAGGCATCAATTATTCTTCTGTTATTTTGATTCATTGTCCGGCTCTCAGATGCATAGCAAGTGATTAAAAGGACCATGGCCTGAATCAGGCACATCTTTGTCCTCAAACTGACATCAGTGCTTCCCAATAAATTGGAGAGGTCCCTGGTTGCACACTTTCCCAGTACAATATGTCTCTGACACCCTGACAGCTCGTACCAAGGGTGTTAATTATGGGTCCAAGTCAGATGAATTAATTGACAATCTCAACCTTTTCTCCATCTATCATGATGTTGTGTATTAAATAGGTATTGAGAAAGTATACAGCACTGACAGACACCATTCCTGATTTTAAACCATGCCAGTGTATTGGTCCACTGGTAAGAATTTTTGTTCTCTTGATGTTATGCTGCAATCCATATTGGAGGCTGCATTCCTTGATTTTCTGCAGCTAGTGATTCAAGTCCTCCTTACTTTCGGTAAGAAAAGTTGTACCATTTATATAATGCAGGTTACTGATATGTCTTCCTCTCATCCTGATGCCACATTCTTCAAAGAGTCCAGTTTCTAGAATAATTTGCTCAGCATACACACTGAATAGGTACAGACAGAGGATACAATCTTAACATACACCTTTATTAATTTTAAACCATGTAGTGATCCCTTGCTCCATATGCATAACCTATATACTTCATCAATAAACCTCATCAGGGTGAATATATGGTTCTTTGTGGTAACTATAATGAATTTAAACCCAATAAGTACGTGCAGGAATGTGATAGGACATGTCTGACCTCATGGGAAATAGTTCTGTATGTCAGATTCTGTTGATGGGGCCAATTTCTCTTTGTGGAGTTAGTAGTGGTTGAACTCAAACGTCTTCCATAAGGATTTTGCTCATTTGCTTTTTATGCTTATGTTATGAAGTATCTTCTCTCCAGCTTGCTGCGTTACTGAAAGTTACTGCATTGTAAGTTTGTGTGTCAGTTTGCCAAGAATATAGTGAGTCATTTCTTTATCAATTTCTCTAAATATTATACAAAATCTCTACAATACTCGTAAAGTTGAAATCGTTGCATTTTAAAGTCTGTGGTGCATAAAATGTTGTCATACGTATAATTTATTTAGACGTTAAGACATAATGATTTTACTTTTCAGCTTTTACTAAAGCAACTTTGCAGTTAAACTATTTACCAGTAGGTGGTGCTAAAAAGTTTTCATTCCAGTTTCAGACCTTGGGGAGGAGGGGTATGAGTTTAAACATTTTTTTTAAGAAGGTATTGCTTTTTAATATAATATGTAATAATATAATATGTTATATGTAAATATAAAATATAATATGTAAATAATTTTGTTTAATTGCTTTTGTTACAGCTCCACCTAAGACAGTACGCCTGGTCGGAGGTAGTGGACCTCATGAGGGTAGAGTGGAGATTTTCTATGACGGTCAGTGGGGCACAATTTGTGATGACCACTGGGAACTGCGAGGTGGACTAGTAGTCTGTCGAAGTTTGGGCTACCGAGGAGTTCTGGCTGTGTATAAGGGAGCTTATTTTGGAGAAGGTAAAATATTAAAAACCTTATTTATAAAGTAAATTGTATACTTTCTCAAAATGCTTAGAAGAATGGATAAGAACATATAGGTTATGAACGAAGAACTTTGGGATTGTTAAAAATGAATTTTCCTAGAAAATAGGCATGAAAAGAAAAGAAATATTAAAGAGAGATGAATGAAAAATTCTTGTTTAAAGGTTACTGTGTTTCTATTTGGGATAATGAATAATGAAACAGATTCATCTTGGAAAGGGTTTAACTGGGCGGCTCCTTGGAGACAAGGATTCTGAGGCTCCATCTAACATATTTTGGACGTGTTGTAAGGAGGGACCTGTCCTTGGAGAAGGACATCATGCTTGGGAGGGTGGAGGGACAGCGCAGGAGGGGAAGGCACGCTATGAGGTGGATTGATACAGTGACTGGGGTAATCGGGATGGGTATATTGGAGATGGTGAGATTGGCACAGGACAGAGCAGAGTTTAGGGCTGTTGTACATAGGGTCACTATGAGTCGCAAGCTACTCACGGCACATGACAACAAATTTGGAAATAACGGTGAAAGAACTGAAAAATGGTGAATGTAATTGATGTGACCAAACTGGACGAGTGAAGATGGCTGAAATGGCAAAGTTTTATTATATATTTTATATAAAT